CGCTGGTGGTGGGGGGGGGGGGGGGAGGCAAACCTCTGCACTTCTTCTTTAAAGAGAGCAAAGATCCTACTTTGCAGCTGCTGGCAAGGGACAGGTTTTCCTATTCAGGCTGTAGCAGCTTTAAAAAGAAAAAGAAAACAAGTGGTAAGGTGGTGCACACCTTTTGTTTGAATGCTCCTGGAATGTATTTAGCAGATTTAAACTGAAGGTTCAACTGGGCTTTCGTTAATTGCATCATCATTGGCAAATAGGGGACATCTTATTGGGAATGCCTGAAAAACACAGACATTTAGTATATAATCATCACATGCATTGCCAAAATAACAGGATTTTTGACTCAACGTAAAATCCTTTAATAGTTTTCTTATGGGACAGGCCCACAAAAATTCAGATAAACTGGGGGACTAGATGCATCTCAAAGAGCCCGCTGAAGCACCTTACATTCACAGCTGGCATTAGATGTGGCCTAAACACCCACCTGGTAAAGCTCAGTGAACATGTGAACAAAAGACGAGGTGGCAGCTTTGGGAAACAGATGCTTGAAGCTGAAAAACCCGTAGAATGCACCGTGACAGTAGGTGGTGGATTCTTATCCTTAAGTTGATTGGATTAGACAGCCAATGATTCAAACCTGTCACAGTTTTAGTGGGCATACAGCATACGTCAATAAATTACTATTCATTTGCTGTAAAGAAATCAGTGTGCTGGTGACATTCTTCAAATATCTATACACTGGTGGCTCCATATGCAGTCACTTCGAGCACCCACCTGCATATCTGCATGGGAATCCCGGTAAGGAGTGCAGCAAGGAACTTCTTTTCATCTTGAGGTTACTGGGGCATTTTATATTTAAAGATATCAAGATGCAACGTGGAGGTGGCTGCTATATAGTCCAGGGGCCAGTTTAACAAGCTGAACATGCAACAGGTTTCCTTTAAGCAGTTAACATGCATAATAGGATACAATGTAAACATGTTGAAAATAAATCAAACAGTAAACAGATAATTACCTTTACCACTGCTTTTTTCTTGTGGTATCCGTCACCCAACTTCTTTGTCACAATTTTTACAACAATATCCTTAACAATTAAGAAGGTTAAATATTAATAAACATTAGCCAAATATCTCTTCAAGGGTCAGATAATCCTAATGGGACACTATAAGGGAATATATGGCATTCTAATAATTATTTGAATAAATGTAAATGGTATTTTGCACATTAATTCCCTTGTTATGTCACACAGCTTTAAGAACTGCAACGGTTTAAACTGTTTCTATTAGTGTAAACATAAAAGAAAAAAAAAAAAAAAAACAGAGTTCGATTTACCTGTAACTATTTCCAAGACAGTTCATGAAAGATAGACATCACCTCCAACAGGAACAGAAACCGCATCACCACAAACTTTAAAGGAAGTCCTTCTGACGAACTGGTCAGTGTTCAATGAGAACCGAAGGACGTTATTTTTAAAAAAAAACCCCATATACCACATAAAAACATAACAAAAGCACTGCCCCTGAAGTGGACTTAACCTGGCACATCGCCAGGCAGGGAAGTCCATTTGCTGCCCCAGAACCTCTGACAGGAAGGCTCCAAACCAGTCTGCCAAAGTCACCGCACACTACTGGCCTTCTCCAGGCACTGAAAAAGGGAGTGGGTCTAAACCTCTTCCTTTAGGTAAAGAGAAAGGGACTTTGGAACAGAAATGGGCGAGACACACCCACACTATCAAGGAGGGTAAGGAAAAAGGGGGTGAGTAGAGAACTGCAGATGAGAGCCCTGGGCTGAGACTTCTTCCACCAGGTTGCAAGTAATGAGTCTCCTTCAGATGGAGGAAACACAAAATGACCAGTTCAGAAGACTTCCTTTTAAAATTTGTGATGCTACATTTTCTGATCTTTTTGGGAGAGGTGCTTATCTCTCATGTGTTGTCCTGGAAGACAAATTAGGGAAAAGAAAAAAAATAATATATTGAACACTATAATTACATGTACCATTTGCATATAGGTTCTTACTATTTTGTAATAGAGGTTTTCTAACATAAAACTGTGCTTTGCTCCTGCAACATCCTTGTCTGAATGACTTTAATAACCTGCTCCAAAAATGTCTGTCAAAAAAGACAATGTAGGACACAAGTAGAAATGGAGGAGCAGGTCACATGTTCCGGAATCTTAGAGAGATACTGTCACCTTAACGTTGCATAGTAAAGCAACAGTGTATCTACACAGAATACCACCCCCCCTTTCATACTCGCTTTGCCAGCACTCCCTCACCACTCCTCCTGTCACAGCTGGCATGAAAATCACTTGATGAACATTAGTTACAGTACAGCACTCAGGCTTAGTGATTGACTAGTCCACACTGTCAGAGGGAAGCAGGTCCTATGCCCACTAACTGGAAGTGTCTGATAATGTCATCAGCTGTGACGAAGGAAAGAGCAGCAGGGGTGCACAGGCCATGACAGTAGAAATGGGTGGGTGACAGTGATACAGGCATAGGCAAGGCAACAGTGCTGCTTTAAGATGAGTAAAATAAAAAAGGGGATGAGATAATTTGTAGAATCTAAAAGTATTCAATTATACATGAATTAAAACATACATACACTATATTTCCACTATAAGTATTGGGACTCCTGCCTTTACACACACATGAACTTTAATGGCATCCCAGTCTTAAGGTGCCCATACACTGCTCGCTTCCCATACGAGAATCGTGGGAAATCCCGCGATCGTACGAGAATCGAGCAGTGTGAACGAAGACGTGCGACCGTTTCTACTGTATGGTCGCACGTCTTTTGTTAAAGGAGCACGCTAGAAAACCAGCCGAAAAACGTACGATTTTCGGCTGGTTTGAACGGTGCTCGGGAGACAAATGCCGAACTGCCCGTTCAGCATTGCGGTCATCGGAAGCCCGCCCCTCAGGGGGGCAGGCTTGCGATGATCGAGAGTGCGATCTGCCTGTCCAAGATGGGCAGATCGTACGTTTTTTTTAATCACTTTACAATCATTGCAAGACTAAGGTCTTGCGATGGTTGTACAGTGTATGGCCACCTTTAGTCTGTAGGGTTCAATATTGATTTGGCCCACCCTTTGCAGCTATAACAGCTTCAACTCTTCGGGAAGGCGTGCACAAGGTTTAGGAGTGTGTCTATGGGAATGTTTGCCCATTCTTCCAGAAGCGTATTTGTGAGGTCAGGTACTGATGTTGGACGAGAAGGCCTGGCTCGCAGCCTCTGCTCTAATTCATCCCAAAGGTGTTCTATCGGGTTGAGGTCAGGACTCTGTGCAGGCCAGTCAAGTTCCTCCTCCCCAAACTCACTCACCCATATCTTTATGGACCTTGCTTTGTGCACTGGTGCGCAGTCATGTTGGAACAGGAAGGGGCCACCCCCAAACTGTTCCCACAAAGTTAAGAGCATGAAATTGTCCAAAATGTCTTGGTATGCTGATGCCTTAAGAGTTCCCTTAACTGGAACTAAAGGGCCATCCCAACCCCTGAAAAACAACCCCAGACCATAATCCACCCAGCACCAAATTTTACACTTGGCAGAATGCAGTCAGGCAAGTACCGTTCTCCTGGCAACCGCCAAACCCAGACACGTCCACGTTTGGAGGTCTGTAGCTATAGACTCTGCAGACAGTTGGCGACTTCTGGGCACTGTGCGCTTCAGCATGCGCTTACCCAGTTTCCGTGGCTTATCACTTTGTGGCTGAGTTGCTGGTGTGCCCAGTTCCTTCCACCTTGTTGTAATACCACTAACAGTTGACCGTGGAGTATTTAGTAGCAAGAAAATTTAATGGATGGACTTATTGCACAGATGGCAACCTATCACGGTACCACGCTTGAAATCACTGAGCTCCTGAGAGCGACCCATTTTTTCACAAAGCGTCTGCATTCCTAGGTGCTTGATTTTATACACCTCTGGCCATGGAGGTGATTGGAACACCTGAATCCAAATACAACACACATAATATATGAAGCTAGCGAACCTATTTAATGTATTACTTGCTTGGCACATTTATTTTTTTACATTGATTTGTTGCTTTAGATTTACTTACAGGTTGCAACCAATAGTCTGTTATTTCTGTTTTCTTTTTCTTCTCTTCCATCTAAAACAAAACAAAAACAAAAGCTGTAATATAGAATTCCTTTCAATTGATATTATATCGTATTTTTTGCTCCATAAGACGCACTTTTTCCCCCCCAAGAGGCGGGGGAAATGTATGTGCGTCTTATGGAGCGAATCCCTAGTTTTTTGTACATTTAGCCCTGCTAAAAACAGAGCTAAACGTACAATGGAAGCCGCTGCTCGTTTAATACAAGTGATCTATTCAGATCACTTGTATTAAAACCGAGCAGCTCAGGGGGGCAGGCTTGCGATGATCGAGAGTGCGATCTGCCTGTCCAAGATGGGCAGATCGTACGTTTTTTTTAATCACTTTACAATCATTGCAAGACTAAGGTCTTGCGATGGTTGTACAGTGTATGGCCACCTTTAGTCTGTAGGGTTCAATCTTGATTTGGCCCACCCTTTGCAGCTATAACAGCTTCAACTCTTCGGGAAGGCGTGCACAAGGTTTAGGAGTGTGTCTATGGGAATGTTTGCCCATTCTTCCAGAAGCGTATTTGTGAGGTCAGGTACTGATGTTGGACGAGAAGGCCTGGCTCGCAGCCTCTGCTCTAATTCATCCCAAAGGTGTTCTATCGGGTTGAGGTCAGGACTCTGTGCAGGCCAGTCAAGTTCCTCCTCCCCAAACTCACTCACCCATATCTTTATGGACCTTGCTTTGTGCACTGGTGCGCAGTCATGTTGGAACAGGAAGGGGCCACCCCCAAACTGTTCCCACAAAGTTAAGAGCATGAAATTGTCCAAAATGTCTTGGTATGCTGATGCCTTAAGAGTTCCCTTAACTGGAACTAAAGGGCCATCCCAACCCCTGAAAAACAACCCCAGACCATAATCCACCCAGCACCAAATTTTACACTTGGCAGAATGCAGTCAGGCAAGTACCGTTCTCCTGGCAACCGCCAAACCCAGACACGTCCACGTTTGGAGGTCTGTAGCTATAGACTCTGCAGACAGTTGGCGACTTCTGGGCACTGTGCGCTTCAGCATGCGCTTACCCAGCTCTGTCATTTTACGTGGCCTATCACTTTGTGGCTGAGTTGCTGTTGTGCCCAGTTCCTTCCACCTTGTTGTAATACCACTAACAGTTGACCGTGGAGTATTTAGTAGCAAGAAAATTTAATGGATGGACTTATTGCACAGATGGCAACCTATCACGGTACCACGCTTGAAATCACTGAGCTCCTGAGAGCGACCCATTTTTTCACAAAGCGTCTGCATTCCTAGGTGCTTGATTTTATACACCTCTGGCCATGGAGGTGATTGGAACACCTGAATCCAAATACAACACACATAATATATGAAGCTAGCGAACCTATTTAATGTATTACTTGCTTGGCACATTTATTTTTTTACATTGATTTGTTGCTTTAGATTTACTTACAGGTTGCAACCAATAGTCTGTTATTTCTGTTTTCTTTTTCTTCTCTTCCATCTAAAACAAAACAAAAACAAAAGCTGTAATATAGAATTCCTTTCAATTGATATTATATCGTATTTTTTGCTCCATAAGACGCACTTTTTCCCCCCCAAGAGGCGGGGGAAATGTATGTGCGTCTTATGGAGCGAATCCCTAGTTTTTTGTACATTTAGCCCTGCTAAAAACAGAGCTAAACGTACAATGGAAGCCGCTGCTCGTTTAATACAAGTGATCTATTCAGATCACTTGTATTAAAACCGAGCAGCGGCGGCGCG